ATTATTTTTTAGAAAGGATTAAACTTATTACTGCATATATCAGTGTATATACAGACCATTGAAATTGAATTAGTAAGTAACATATTTTCGACATTAGGCTAAATATTTGTATAACTTAATACTTTTTTTGCCATTAGCCCGAATGGACGTTGTAACTATATATAAATGTGATAATTAATTTAGAATGCTATAGATTTTTTTTACTTTGCCGTCTTTCCGCCCTTTCCCTAAAGGGTCATTTTAAATCATATTTCATACTGGATTCGGCCAGACCCACAATGGGTCAGCCAATTGTGATACCTGTTATATCTGAGACAGATCGCCCATGAAAAATTATTGAGTTTCCCATCTGGATTCAATTCCGGATCCCCAGAGCGGCAGGCGACACCTTAATAATCTCAGGTTCAAATACTGAGTTTATTGTGTTTTGCATGTTTTGCGTATTTTGCATAAATATAAATATAACAAATTGAATTTTTATTGAGTAAAAAATATATAAAGGTGTTTCTGAAATGTAAACATCAAGATTAGGAGAAATTAGAAATTTCTTAATATGAAATCGTATCTTAAATAGATTCAGTTCCAGTAGCGTAGCGAGGGGGGGTGAAAGGGTGTGTATCATGCACCGGGCGGCACTCTCAGAGGGGCGCCCAAATGGTCTCCAAGACAAAGTATATGTGTTTATGGGGGAGGGGGCGCCAATAAAGTGTCGTTCCCCGGGCGCCAGTTATGTTCGCTACGCTACTGTTCAGTTCCATTCTATTGCGAACGTGAAAACATGAAAAGAAGTATTTAAACTTGTAAATAATTATTTTACTTTAATTAAACATTTTAAAAACTGTACTTGCGTTATAAAATTTTGAATCTGGATATTACTATTTTTGAACAATTTAGAATCCTTATAATTTTATTTAAGATATTTTAAATGGAAGTACAGTTGAACATATTTCAGATAGACAATCTGAAACATGTTTATCTCGAAAACCTTTTAACTCAAAATTTATTTATTATTTTCCTCTGCATTTTCAGCCCAAATTCAATATATTTTCCATTTACCTCAAATAATTTTCTTCCAAAATCTCTATATATCAAATTTTTGACAAGTGTCAATTACAAATTCAAAGCACAGCGACTACATTTTCATACCGATAGTATAAATTGTAGTTGAGAAACATCTCTTGCAATACAATACGTAGTTGCAATTAACTCTGTTTTTCTCTGATTGGCTACGAGTTTGGCTTGCGTCATAGTCGAAGAAACTTGGGTATCAGAAACTATTGACAAACTAATTCTGTTTAAGGTATGTCAAATATGTTTTATTTATATTCAATACAGATGTGTACAGTACTTTACTTGCTATTGTATTAAAAGAATACCTATCTCCAATCAAACCTATTATTTAATGTGTAGGAACCTCTATATCTTGAAACCTGTCTATCTCGATTTTTTTTCTTGTTCCCATGAGATTCGAGATAGACAGGTTCAATTGTATACGATTTATGAGTTGTAGTTTCAAAGAACATGTATTCTGTAAAAAATTAAGATGTTTTGGATTTTGGCTTGCTAGGTAGAGATCTAATGTAGACTATATATAAAAATAAGAACATTTTCAAAACAAAAACTTGCTCTTAAAATATATTACATTTTTTTCATACCGTATTTAATAACATAAAGACATAAATATTTGAGATTAAAATGTTACATCATTGTTAGACCTACATTTATTTTTTCGAGCAATAAATATAGTCTACTAGATAGTTGAATTATCTAATCATTATTTCTAAATAATTATGTTTACAATAAGATTAAAAATTTTTGTAAAGAAATGTATATATGTATTAGATTTATTGCGTAAATATGCAATATTAGTTTGTAATTTAAAGCTTTATATTGAGTAGAATAACTTATAAGTTAGATTAATATTGGGGAAAAATTATTAACAAACAACAACGACTGTAATATTTCATAATAGGAAAAGCTAAAAATTGAGGAAATATAACGAGTGGACTTCCCGGACGCGAAAAAGCGGAAGAAATAGAAAAAAAAACACATAACTTCGTAACAGTACGCTATACCTTAATAATACAGAGTGCTCAATGTTTGTTACCTTAATTTTATTCGATTTAAATGTAATTATACATATATATAAAAAATGTTTAATCTGTGCACCCAAAGAGTTTATACAGAATCTGGAATTTTTCACAGAAACAGATGTAGAACAATTTAATTTTCAGAAAATATTTTCCATTTGCTTTTTCATTATTCTCACTTTGGAATACACATAAATTTTGTCAAAAATGATAGATTTAAATATCAGATATATTTCTGTTTGACGCTTATTCTACTTCCTTATTGACATTTCCACAAACAGTTCCAATTTTATGATCAAAAGTTATCCAAAAAAGTAACATTTCTCATGTGTATACCAGAATAATTTGCAAATATAAATAAATATACAGTTATCGTAACGCAAACTCAAATCGAAGTCATCAATCTACGATGATGGATCAAAATCTAACGCTTATAAAGGATCTGTGATGGTTTGCCATGATGAGATTGTAGATGATCAGATTGCATTTAATATTTCTTTATTTGCTGTGGAATTATAGATTATGCCATATATTTAATTTCAGAGCATGTACAATTTTAAAATTATCGTTTCTGCATGATATATTTGGATTCCTTAAAATCTCTTTAGACTGTTTTCATTGAAATCATCTTTAGTCCAAACTCTAAACTGTTTGGTCATTTCATGTTCAGGAGATTTATATTAAAGTTTAAAGTAATAATTTCAAAAACATGTTAAAATTTATAGAAAAATAAATATTTTTACTGATTAATGTTTATAGATGATTATATAATAAATAAATCTACATATAAATTTATGAAAACATAATTTATTATATACATAATAAGATGAAGCTGTAAATGAAGTTTACTTTTATGAATGGAAAAATTGAAACATACGAGTCAAACAAAGATAGTCATAATTTTAATTCTAATAACATATTTAAGATGCCATATTAAAAATTACATTTATATTTATTAAGTTCATTGAAAAAATGAATTTTAATTTTTATTGCGTATGCTAACAGTTTATCAGTAGAATTATTATTGGTTGAAATATCTTCTGTAACAGTAATGGAGGTATTGTTTCAGTTTAATAATTGAAGTCAATAAAAACGAATAGAAACGATTAAAATTTACTATTGATTTTATTTGTTCCTATTGTGCTTTTAACAGAGTAAATTTAGACCTAAAAGTATTTTCACAAGGATATGAAAATGATATTGGAAAAAGGAAGCAATCTTTATGTTTGGGAATGTACAGTACAATTATTTGTTCTTTTAAAGAACGTTTCTATCTGTGAAAATTGTCTGATAATCAGCATATCGGCTTTCTCTATCAATTTTTTTTTTTCAATAGATCGATTGTGCAGATTTTATACATTTTGCAAAGCGCATGCATATTTGTATCTTGTTCGCTTTATTTGCAGATCTTATCTCTATACTTATTTATCTTTTTATCGATGCTTTGTGCAATTCAGTCTTATAGGCTATTGTAACCGAAATATTAATTATATACAAAACAGCACGAGACCAATCAAAATTTCTAGATCAAATTTAGTTATACTTTTTAAAGAATACGATTATATTATTACAAGTGTTCAGTTTTAAATTCAAACTGGAAGATAAGAAATTCTTTATACGAGTGTGAATATGTAGCATGTAGGCCTACAGTATGTCTTTCGCTTCGGTTATTTGTCGTATCGCGGCGAATTGGATTCATTTAAATAATCGATTTTGTTCAGTATTCATGATCTGAATCGATTCCTATCATCGAGATACGAAAGATAATCAAGCAAAAGCTTTTATAGCAAAACTAATTGTCATATTTCACAAATGTACCGGTGTCGGCATTCATAAAATTTTCGTAGATACATTTTTGTTTGTTTCAACGAGAATGAACGTGATTATAAATCGAATATACATATTAATATTGTATAATAAACACGACTAAATGACATTTATAATTTTTACTATTTTTCGGAGGCTTATCGAAGTCCGACGACAACGACCTCTGGTGTACGTCACCAAAGCCTTCTTCGGGACAAAATGGACAGGTTATTTGCCAAGTTTCGCCTCCGCGATTAATATGGTTGCGTGGCCGAGTCTATTGGCACTGTGGCGTCGAGGACAGCCGAACGAACTCGACACCATAATTGTCGGGCATTGCCGAAATATTGACATGGAAAAACCTTAACATGCGTTGTAAGCTTAAAAAATTAAATTGTTAGTGTACATATTTGGTTTCATTTATAGAGTTTAGAATATTTTTCAAATTTTCGGTGTGAATGAACGAGAGTTAATATTATGATATCGATCGCTATGTTCATACATTCCTTATCTGCACAGATTATTAATCTCATATTTTGACATTTAATTACTTGCCTACAGCTATTTTAGTTTTTAATTACCCGGTTTTTTTTCCTTCCTTACTGTGTTTAAAATTAAGCTGCCGGATTATTTTGGATATTTGTTCGTGTATTCTCCTGTGTGTGTAATCGCAAGACCCACTTGTGCAGGAATGAGAAATGCAATAAAATTGAGAAGATCAGATAGATTTAATAGAGTATTAGATCTTCATGATCATCCTTTTATGGCAGATTTAGAATCTTGTCTGTTGGAAGCTTGAGCTATTGAATGCATGATAGCACTCTCCACATGGTATTGTTTGAACCAACTGGGAAATGTGGAATTGAAATTATTTATCTTTCAATGCACATATCTAATAATATGTGAAAGAAAAAGTTATTTTATTTCTAAAAGTACCCTTGGAAGATCTTGATTTTTTAAAAATTTTTATAAAAAAAATAAGGCTTTTAAATATGGCTTTTTAATATTAGAAATGAATAATATTGAAATGTTTGTTTATCTTTGCAATGGAAAGTCATATTTACAATGTTTACTAAAAAATAAAGTTTGGAAAACTACTAACGATGACTGTGATGATAAATGTTTGGAAAGTAATGACTTTATTAATGCTTATTTGTTTTTCTTTTTTGATTTTATTTAATGTTTGATTAATATTTTATAAAAGAAACTAATCTTAAATTGATAATCAAACTTAGAAATATTAAGAATTAATTCATTTTTATTTGTAAAAATAATTTAAGACTTTATAAGAGCTTGTCATCTTCCATTAATCATTTCTGATATAAGTATTTTAATTGTGTTGTAAAATGTGATAATGAATTAAAAATTAAAAAAATATCTAAATAGAAAATTAAAATCTATTAAAAAAAAACAAAAATGTATAAAAAAATTTTGATAAATAAAAAGCCTCTCTCACCTACATTTTTTTTAAATGATTGCTAATCTGCTCAATTTTCATCTTTTTGTGGTAATAAATATGTTAAAATCAGTTTAGATGGTGACTTAAGTTTTTCAAGACATAAGTTAAATCTAAATTCTCATACTAAGTTTAATCAAAATCAGATGAACTACTACAAGAAGAGCTTCCTTGCAAATTTTTAAAAATATATGCAAAAAGCAAATAAAAGATTATTCAATAAAGATTAAAGAGGCTTTTGATTTTATAAAAAAATTCTTGGAATTAATACTAAAGAATATATATATGTAATTTTTATTCTCTTGTCAAAATATTTTTTATGACTCAGAATAAAAATGATACAGCTCGTAAGCTTTCTTTTAACTTTATGTTCATGAAAATTTTTGAAGTATTATATATGAACATATAATACTAAGAAAAAAAATTAGCCAATTGGCAGATTATATATTAGAATCATTTTACTGACAACTTCACTTATCCTGCCACCATTAACTTAGAATATAGAAATTGATATATCAATAAAAGCAATAAGTTATCTTTTCCATCAACTGAAGTGAAGCACAAGAAATTGAGAATAATGAATAAACTATTTTGAATATAAAATATATAAACTCGTTAATTTGTATAATTTTAATATCAATATGCTTGTTACCATAATTTAATATCCATACATAAAGTATGTAGCATTTAGATAAATTTGTACTAATCTATGGCTATGGCTTTAACTACAGTTTGATGCAAGTATCTGAATGCTATTTGTATTTATTTATCAAAAATAACATTGATATTTGTTTTTAATTGTAAGCTATATAAATATATTGACAGATTACTTGATTATATCATGTAAAATATTTTTTATAATGTGTAATAATTTTTTTAATAGAGGTAGGAGTAGGCTGGTTATGAGGATAGTTACCATGGAAACTGAGGATAACAGCATCAATCAGACATGCAATGAAAATCTAGTTTCACTCAGAATATTTGTTCCAGAATTGACTTTACAGGTATTGATTTAAAATAAATTTATTATTAGAATAAGTAGTAACAATAATAATAATAATTGGATGTTTTTACTCTCTATTTTAATAAAATAAAATAAGACACTGATGATGATTTGTTTATATTTAAAAATAAAAAATTAAATTTAAACTGTGATGATTTTATATGTAAAGAAAAAGTGTGAAATTTGATCTATGGAAGGTATGCATGCATTTTATTTTAGGTAAAACCATGTAAAAAATATTTAATTTATTTCCAATAAAATTTGAACAATTAATATAATTCTGTTTAGCAAAAAAGAAAATTAAATTTTTAATAAGGTTATTTAAAAAAAGATGTAAAGTACTGCTATTAATAGTAATAAATACAACTCCAAAGTCCTATGATATTTATTTCTCAAAGTCAAGGTGCATAATGAGAATTAGCTGTTAACTTACTACAGCTTATGGAATATGCAGATCAATTGTCTATTTGAATTTTATCAGTAATATAAATTGGGTCAGTTAATCATTTTTGTAAATTACTACTTACACAAACTATTAAAATATATTTTCTTTAAATTCCTGGATTTTAATAATTATTTTTTATTGATTTTATTTCAATCTTAATGTTCTATTGTAATCAAAAATTTTTTTAATGACCAAAAAGCTTAAACCATTGATAGTTTGACAAATTCCAAATTATTTTTATTCACAAGTATTTCTGTAACATTAGTATAAATAGGAATGTACCAATAACCAAAATTAGAACCATCTAACCATTAGTTAACTTTAAAAATTATGTGAATGGTGTTAACTAACTCCATCAAAAATTTTTAAATATGAAAACATTCAATATAAAACTAATTTTTATTGAAATTTTTGAAAAATAATTTGAATAATAAATTTAAAAGTAATTTTACCAAATGAAAAGTATATTTTCATTTAATATAGTTATATTAATTTTATGATATGAAAAAAGTGAAATTAAGATATACCATTAAGGTGAATTAGATATGCAATGCAATGTATTGATTAAAAATAACCATATATGTTGATAATGGATATACAGTAGACTCTTGTTAATCCTCCTGTTTGTTCAAATTAAGAGCATGTGCTAGTATTATCCCATTTTTGAAATTTAAAGATTAATGTTTAAATTAATAAATTAACTATTGAAAATTAAATGTAAAAATAAATAAAATAATTTTGAAAATTAAATGTAAAAATAAATAAATTAATTAATGTCAAATCAGTTGATTAGGATGGTTTATGATTGCCCTGTGACACTTGTCATGGTTTCTTGTGGAAAATACAGATTCTTTAGAATTGGAAACCAAAGTGGCCATTATCAAAAAGGTTGAAGATGAATGATTTTTTCTTTATTTTATTGAATGCACTACTGTACCTTTGTTTCATATTTCTCATTGATTAAACATTATTCTGCTTACTATGTGGTGTTAATGCAATGTTAAAATAATTTTTTTCCCTTGCTTTGAAGCCCATTTAGAAATATCTCTTTTTGAATTTCTGAATTGTTTAAAGCCATTCCTCTGAGTTTGAATATGAGCGTCTACTGTATCATTGTTGTTATTTGTAATAACAACAATGATGATGATAAAAGTACATTTTAATAATTTAAAAAAATATATATATTATCATGTTAAATTTAATTTACTGAAAATTAACATATAAATAAACAAGGAAAATTATACTTTTTTTTAAGAGAGCACAGTTCTGTACAAATAAAGTACTAAAATTGAATAAAGAAATCAGTGATAAAAATTAAATTCTTTGTACAGTATCAAAAACAAATAATTTACAGAATAATAATAATAATAATTTAATATGTCAATAATTTGCTATGCATTGTAATGATAAATATATATTGAAGATTATAGATTTTTTTGTAGTAAATAAGCTAAATTATTTTCTTTAATAAAAATAATTTATCTTGAAAATTTATGAACATTTATCATACAGCATTTTATAAAAATATTCAAACTGTGTTAAAAAAATTATTCAAAAATAATTTAAATTTTTAATATATATAGTGCAGCAGTGCAATTTTTATAATTTTTTTTTGGATTATTAGGTTTTAAAAGTTTCAATAAAATAAGAGTATAGTACATTAAAGTAAAAAAAAACGCAGTGCAGAATATTTTCTGTGATAAACAAAATAATATATTATTAAAAGTTATTTTTTTAATAAAATGTAAATTTATAATTCTGAACAAAAGTTGAACATTTGGTAATTAGATATAAATGATAAAATGTTTTGAACTGTTTTAATAGAGTTTCATAGAAATATATTTATAAATAAGTATTTTAAATATTTTGAAAGCATAAAAAAATATTAACAATACATTTTCTTTTTTCCATAAAATCATATTCATTTGAAAAAGATTTAAATATTTTAGACATTTTAGATGAAATTATTATTTCTGCTTTTTACAATAGCTGCTTTTCTCTACTCTCAATTTAAAATTTGTCTGAATTAGAGTGTTTTGTGAATAATACATTACAAAATTTGAATTTTTAACATTTTAAAATTCAAAACTTAAAGTAGAAAAGTTTAGTTTAATTTAAATTTTTTTTTATTCATATGAATTTTGTTCTGGATGCAAATATATGACTGATGAAATGAATTTATTTCAAAGTTATTAAATAATAAATTATTTCACTTCCGTAAGTTGAGGATTTTCAGATAGATATTATAATTTCAAAGGTTCTATCTAATAATATTTCTCAGTTATTAATAATTAGTTCTGTAACAAACAAAATTGTTTTAATGGGGAAAAAAATAAAATTTAAGTGCTTTTGAACTATATTTTTTTTGTTAAAGCAGGTTTTTTTTTGTTTTGTTGTTTTATGTAAGTGAAATTGTTTGTTAATTACTTTTCTGTAATAAAACACAGAACTAATTAATATATAATTATTCTATTATGTACTGTACAGTACATAAAATTATATGTGCATAGTACATATTATATATATTTTTCTAAAGTGTAATACAGTCAACTTCCCTATAACACTGTTGATAATTTCATTTTATATGAATTCCACGTTGTATGAGTCACTTAGATTTTACAAATACGTGAGCCGTTCACAACCCAGCACACATATTTGTAAAATCAAAGTGACTTGTACAACATGGAATTTGTATAAAACAGAATTATCAACAGTGTTATAGGGAAGTTGACTGTAATTGTTAATAATAATAATAACTGTTAAGAAAGTTTATAATTATTATAAAAACAAAACATTCTTTACTCTAGAACAGAGGTGTCCAAGGCAAGTTCCAATGAGGCCCAATAAACATGTAAACAAAACTAACAAATTTTATAATTTTATTTTATTTATTTATTTCAACAACCTAAATTAAAAAAAAAAGAAGTTTCCAAAACCATAAACCTTTATACATATTTTATTTTTGAGTGGAAAGGAAATATTTTCAAATACTTGGAAATACATCGATGGAAGTAGAGCATCGATTATCCGACCCCCGATTAACCGTCACATCGGTTAACGGACCGTTCTAGTTGGCAAATTTCAAATGTCCGCTAGTGATGTGACACTACAATATTTGGCTATGTCTTGGCTACTTTAATATTATTTTTGTTAAATTTTTGTGTGTTTTAGCTGGCAATACTGGCTCGACCATTGTAGGGAGGCCAGTATTTAAATGAGACTTAATTTTCTAATTATGAGTGGTTGTTTGTTTCGTGAGCAATAAAATAATTTAAAAATAATTTTTAATGATACAATAGTGACGATTATTATTTTTTAAAAGAATTTGTTAGGCTTAACATCGATGAAAATTCAACACAAAGTTGGTTAATAGCGATATACTAATATACTAATTACATGGGATATACTAATATACTATACTAATAATGTATTTTTTTCATTCTTTTCGGTTATCCGATTTTTTAGTTATCCGACCAACCTGAGTACCCAATTGAGTCGGATAATCAATGCTCTACTGTATTTAAATGAGGAAAGAATACTAAATAAAGCTGAAGTTGAGACTCAAATTTGGGGGAGAATTATAGACTCAAATTTGGGGAAGAATTATAGACTCAAATTTGGGGGAGAAAGGAGAGAAAGGCCAAAAGATAAAAAATAGTAAGAAAGATTAAATAGACTTTCTGTCATGCAAATAGGGACCCTTAATTTTCCAACCTTCCTCACTTCTTTATCTTTTGTCCTTTCTCTCCTTTCCCCGCATTTGTGTCTATAATCCTTTGAGTCCTAACTCCAGTTTATTTAATATTCCTTTCAGCATTGCATGATTTGGCTACCTTGCGCCAAAGTTGGCTACCCTGTTTTTAGTTTGGCATAAAAAATATCATTTGATGCATTGGCTACTTTTTGGGCTACATATTATTTATAAATATATTAGACGAATAAAAATGCACTTTAAAATGGTGTTTTGTCTTTTTTTATTAATTAGAGACCCAAATAAAACAAATATTTGTGTTTTTCAAATAAATTTTTGTTTGTCTCCTTTATAATAAATGAATTTATATATTTCTAAGTAAAAATTGAAAGTGTCTGTACAAGTAATTTTTAAAATATTCTTTTTTGTGATAAAGATTTAATACTTATTACTATAATCTAGACATGTTAATCCTTAAATATACAAGTATATTTAAGGATAGGATTGGGCCACAAGTATACATAATATACTTGTGGCCCAAAACTCCATGACATCTTCCAATGTGGCCCAGAGAAACAAAAAGTTGGACACGCCTGCTCTAGAAGTTAAATATTTTAGTTTATTTGAATGCTTCCAAGAATCACATTCTTAACTCCAAAAATATTAAAATCTGATAGATGCTATGTAATAACACAAAGAATAATTTTAAAATATTTATAATGAAAAAAATCATTGTAATTTAAATGAATTCAATTAAATTAAATTGAATTAAAAATTTAAATTTTAATTCATAGTTCTCACAGTTTTTCAATAAATTCTGAAAATAGCTTAACATTTTCAAATTATTTTGTAATATATATCATCT